TATGTACATATGTCATGTGCACTAAAGCCAATACCGAATGCATTTGTTTACTTGAAGCACAATGCGTAACCACTAGCAACACTGTAATAAATCGGTCTATACAATACAAAAGGATAGCATGAACTAGAAACATTTTCGTTTGTGCTCATGAAAGCCTTATTTATAAGAGCTTAGAGTGCACTTTGCGAAATTTATTCTGCAACCTACAGTGAATTGAACAACCGCCCCTTCGAGATGCAGTAAATTCGCCTTAAGAGTTGCAGCGCTGTCAGCACCAGTCTCAAGTGGCAATCACTAATGTTAGCTACCACTTTAAATAATAAGAAATTATTACGAACATAATTTAAATAACGACCAGAATTTTCCTTTACCAATTAACAAATGGGTAGTAATGTATTTAACTGCAACTTAACCTAAAATATACAGTGTTTAAAAAATTAAAGAAACAAGAAATGTTGACAAGTTTTGGATATTTTTCTTTTGCTTATATAATATTTTTATTTATATTAATTTAATGGACTACAAACCTGCCAATCCTTTGATACTACATTTTTTAAATTTTAAATTTTTTCGCGCTTCTGTTGATTTGTATGTTGTTGTTTATATAAAAATGATTAAACAAGAGAAAAATATCCAAAATTTTTAAAAATGTGCTTCTATTATTTTGGCACACGTAACAGGAATTCCATAAATTTTCTGGTAACTTACTATTATAATGCCTTTTTCTAAAAATAAGCTTGGTATCCCCTTTAAAAACATTTTTATGTGCATATTTTATAACTTCTATAATCATGTACGACCAACATTCCACCAATAGGAATGAACACCTGTTTCATGTTTCACGCCATGAGAAGAATTTGCTGATTTAACACGAAATTCGCAAACTACAACGCTTATTTAAAAATGTACATATTTAAATATGTGCATACGTATGTAATTATGTCAGCCACCCCGTCGGATACATATATAAACATTAGTACAACCCATGCATGTACATTCATTCGCCATACAGATTTGAAATCACCAACTGTAGCGCTTTCTTCAGGCGGCAATAAAATCATTCAGTCATTCCACCACCAATGCTGCTCCCTCTTTATGGCTATCGATCCAATATAGAGTGGAGTAAAATAGGAAAAAGAACCGCCACCATACCATAACAAATTGCAGCTAGTAACTCCTCTTACTGGTGTGTCACTTGTGCCGCATGCCGCAAATGCTAAGAAGGACATACAAAATCAAATATTTTGCCCGTTAAGAGGAGTGAAGACATCGAGTTGGTTGAATGAGGAATGAAATATAGTATGTGCTCCAATATAGGCACATACAAACATACATATTTACATACACATGAGTTTATAAGTCAAACAAATGATGACTATTTGAGGCGACTTGGAAGAGCAGGGACAGATGTGTATTGGTGGGTGTGTGCGCTGTTGTTTGTTTGGACGCAATTTCAAAGCAAGTTCTACAAACAATACCAGTTTTTGCTGTGCGGGTAGTGGCGGTTCTGATGCGCAGGCGCTAAGAAAGGTGTCAAGAGTAAAGCATACATGAAACTGCTGCGGAATAAGTGTAAAAAATTGTATTCAATTTAGTTATAAATGAAAATAAGGTGTAATATCCGAACGGCTTACAATAGCTGATTGTAAGCAGTTAGACCCGGCTTCAAATCGTTATAGTCCTCTAAAAAGACATACATGCATACACATGTATTGTATACATCCAATTTGCCCTTAACGCTGCCGGCTTGTGGGCTGATAATTAAAAAATTGATTTTCCCAAATAAACAAAATGTTGCATTTCCTCCAGAATAAATAGGAAATTCGGCCACCTTATCAAACTATATACATACATATGTATTTAATATTCATATTTATTTATGTAAAAACATTTTCAATACTCACTGGCATTCATTCATAATCTCCTCTTGGCTGCGCACTTGTACTGGTGCCAAATCCTCGACATTTTCCTCGAAATTTCCAAAACACTTAGTGATCTTTTCATCAAATGTATTCACTAAATCCTCAAGACTACCACCAAATGTCTCGGCGAAATTATCCACGGTATCACCAGTGGTGGAACCCTTATCGCAGCCATCGTCGCCTGGCGTCAAACCCACATCCAAGCCAAGTTCAGCCGCTAGCAAGGAATTGCAATTGGGGCTCACTGCCCCACCGCCAAACTTTTCGCCACAATTTGTGCCATTCGTCATGAGCACACCATTCTTGCTCACGTGCGCATCGCGTACAGCCTCCTCGAGTAGGCGTATCTTTGTCTCCTGCTTCATGGCTGGATCTTTTAGATTCAGATTGAGCGTATCGTTGATCGTATTTTGATTTGAAATGAAGTCACAACCGCCCCATTCATCTGTCTCCTCGAATTTAGCTAAAGGAGCTTCGAATTTCAGCTCGGCCATTTTGGTGCCGAGGTCACGCATCACGCACGTATGCTCCGCTGGGGGTGAGGCTGGCGCTGTTGGCGGCGTCTTGACGCTTTTACTGCTGTTGCCCAATAAAATAGTGCAGACAAATTACTAAATGTTTGGAGTTTGGCGTGCAACAAATACTAATTACAATTAATTTTTTGTATTCACGCAATTTTCTGTTTTTACTGCTTTATACCTTTTTGGCTTGCAAAGATTTTTCACTATGCGTAATGCCCGTTCTTGCAGCACAGTTTTTCACGATATTTCACTGGGGGTGGTGATAAATTTTCACTTGCTTATTTGTGTATAATTTTTTCACTTTGTAAACGCGATAACTAGACGCGCGCGTCATAAATTTTAACAAGCCTGTATTAACTTTGTTTTCTATGATTTCTTATTACTTAACTCACAATTTGATTGGAATTTTTATGTTGATTTTTCCTTTGGAAAATTCACAATTTCACTGAACTGCAAAGTAGCACAAAAACACAACGACCAATTCTCTTCAGCTCTGCAAAGCAACAAAAACAAAGTATTGAAAACATCGAATGAAATGACACCATGCATTAAATTCACCACGTTTGGTTTAACTCACCACTGTGCAGACAGTGTGTTGTGCAGCTTTGTACAAAGTGGTCTGGTTGAAATAGTGCAAAATTTTCGAGACAGAGTGGCAAATGTTACTCAATAAGTTAACAAACTTTGATACGCGGGAGAAAAATGAACAATAACGCTTATCTACGTTCTTTTTGTAAATAAATTTTCTTAACTTAGTAAACTACCTACAACGGAAAATATTTGCAGAAACTCTAAACTCAATAGGTGTATTAAAAACGTCCCAACCGATTCCGGTAGTGCATTTTGATCCCACACCAGTGATGGAAAAGTAGGCACAATATTGCCATTTTTGGCACTTTCATTCTCAGAGGCACTTTTGGCAAAATTCATCCTGTTTAAGCACACCATAAATTGTAAAAACATACATAATATGCCAATGTATAACAAAAAATCACATACTACATTACAGATTAAAAAATTACAAAAAGAATATTTAGAAAGATTATAAGTTTGCAGTTGTGTAGTCCATTAAATAAAAGTGCCACTTTCTGCAAAATCCCGTCGATTTTTGATGTTGTTTTTTTTTTTGCTGGCGGTGTCATATGTTTTCATCAATGTAAAAAACTTTCGAACATACCTTATATTAAAAAAATGCGTAAAATTGTAAACTTGGAATCTCTCTAAAAATTCTGAATCAAAAGTTTGTTGTTGCAAAAACCTGCTGAATTTTTATAACTTTTGTGTAAAGTTTAAAATTACGATTTGTGTACATATGTGCATATATGGTGTTTGTTAAATAATGATTTAGACTTTTATATAAAATCAATAAAAGCTAAAACTGGTCAAAATGTCTCACTTCCATTATTTCGCATATAGGTAGATATATGTACGCAATTAGAATAATGTGTTATTTTACTATGAATTTATGTATACATATACATATGTATGTATAAGGAATCGTTCATCAAAACGATTTACTGTAATAATTTAATTAATTAATAATTATTATAAATACCATTTTTAAAAATATATTGTTTTTAAAAGGTCTTAAAAAAAAAAAAATATGTGCCACTCTCGTATCTTTTCGGCACTATTAAGTACTTTTTAAATTCCATCCCTTCCCAAACCGATTAGAATGACGGGAAATGGAAAAATCACAAATAGTCGGTACAGAAGTGCAAGAGCGGCTGGTAATGCAGAATCCAATTTGCGAACCCTAATGCTTGAAACACAATACCAGCGAACGGCAAACTTCGCAAATTTGGGCGATGCTGTCGTTCGCTTTAGTGTAATTTTTTATATACATACCGCATTAAATTCGCCTTCGCATTTACAATTTGGGTGACCATATTTAGAAGAAGCGAAACCATATTTATAAATGAGGAAATGATGACATAAATAGATATAAAATAGACATCCATAACTCGTGTTTTATGTTGTTTTCTTCGTAAACTTTGAAAGCAAAAAAGAAATACGGCCACTTTTCGCAGGTACAGCCGCCATCGCCAAACGGGGCGATAGCAATAAAGCCAAGGCGAATTCAATAGGGTTGTGTTGGGGCGACAGCTCAATTTTTCGCTGTGGAAATTATAATTTCAAAATGATGTGTTTGTTGTAATTCTTACTATCGTTGTGCGTATAATTTGTTAGTGTAATTTTTTACTTACGTACGGCTAACACCACCCTATTAACTGCTCTTGAGCAAATCTATCGCCACGAAACGCGCCATGCGAACTTTACATTTCGCTTGGCTGTGGTCAATTTCACGTGTGTGCTGGTGTTCTAATTTTGAAACTACGAATTTCCCAATTGTGAGTTCGCAGTTCGTGGATATTGTGTTTCAATCATAAGAAATCGCAACCGAAAGGAGACAGTTGCTCCAGGAAAAGAAAAACATGGAAAAGAGCTTGTGAAAAGTGAAAATTGGCTAATGAAAGTGTAAGCAGAACCAACCGGAAAATCCGGCGTGCTCTTGCAAATAGGAAACATTAAAATTCGAATGAAAAAAGTGTTAAATTAACTCAAAAGCAAAGCAACATAAAAAAAGGTGGTGCCGCCGCAGCTGAAGCTCTCTGCCACTAATTGCAAGACCACAACAACACATTTGAATAAAGGCTAAAGGCACCTTGCAATCAACAACGCTACAAAAACAACACACGCAAGGCAATCGTCAAGGGGCTAATTGCGTTCGGCTGGGTGTGGGGTTGTTGTCAGACCCGTTGGAGCGGGGGTAAACAAAACGTATACTTGGTGGAGTTCCGTGCAAATTAAAGAGAACTTGTGGTCAAGAGAATGAAATGAATAAAGAGCGGCGTAGATATATTAAAATAACAACAATACAGGAGCGTCATCTCAAGGCAGAACCGCATTGCTAGCAGAGCCAAAAACAGCAGTTTTTCATTGAATAGGTAGCTGGCAGAAACGGCGGCAGCGGCGTCAGCATTGCTGATGTGAGTGTACACTAGAGATGGGCGCGGGATATCGGACCGGCGNTTTTCTATGATTTCTTATTACTTAGCTCACAATTTGATTGGAATTTTTATGTTGATTTTTCCTTTGGAAAATTCACAATTTCACTGAACTGCAAAGTAGCGCAAAAACACAACGACCGATTCTCTTCAGCTCTGCAAAGCAACAAAAACAAAGTATTGAAAACATCAAATGAAATGACACCATGCATTAAATTCACCACGTTTGGTTTAACTCACCACTGTGCAGACAGTGTGTTGTGCAGCTTTGTACAAAGTGGCCTGGTTGAAATAGTGTAAAATTTTCGAGACAGAGTGGCAAATGTTACTCAATAAGTTAAACAAACTTTGATACGCGGGAGAAAAATGAACAATAACGCTTATTTATCTACGTTCTTTTTGTAAATAAATTTTCTTAACTTAGTAAACTACAACGGAAAATATTTGCAGGTACTCTAATTTCAATAGCTGTATTAAAAACGTCACCCTGTCTTTGGTACCAACCGATTCCGGTAGTGCATTTTGATCCCACACCAGTGATGGAAAAGTAGGCACAATATTGCCAATTTTGGCACTTTCATTCTTAGAGGCACTTTTGGCACAATTCATCCTGTTTGGGCACACCATAAATTGTAAAAACTTAGCATAATATGCCAATGTATAACAAAAAATCACATACTACATTACGGATTAAAAAATTACAAAAAGAATTTTTAGAAAGATTATAAGTTTGTAGTTTTATAGTCCATTTAGTAAAAGTGCCACTTTCTGCAAAATCCCATTGATTTTTGATATGTTTTTTTTTGTCAACGGTGTCATAAGTTTTTATCAATTTAAAAAACTTACGAACATACTTTATATTAAAAAAATGCGTAAAATTGTAAACTTGGAATCTCTCTAAAAATTCTGGATCAAAAGTTTTCTGTTGCAAAAACCTGCTGAATTTTTATAATTTTTGTGTAAAGTTTAAAATTATGATTTGTGTACATATGTGCATATATGGTGTTTATTAAAGTATGATTTAGGCTTTTATATAAAATCAATAAAATCATTATTTCGCATATAGGCAGAGATATGTGTGTAAACACCTCAGAATACCTATATTTCGGTGTATTTCCAATTCGCAATTTGAATAATGTGTTATTTTACTATGCATTTATATATACATATATGCATGTATAAGGAATCGTTCATCAAAGCGATTTACTGTAATAATTTAATTAATTAATAATTATTATAAATGCAATTTTTTTAAAGATATTGTTTTTAAAAGGCCCTAAAAGAATAAAAATCAATTTGTGCCACTCTCGTATTCTTTTCGGCACTATTAAGCACATTTTTAAATTCCATCCCTTCCCAAACCGATTAGAATGACGGGAAATGGAAATCACAAAAAGTCGGTACAGAAGTGCAAGAGCGGCTGGTAATGCAGAATCAAATTTGCGAACCTAATGCTTGAAACACAATACCAGCGAACGGCAAACCGCAAATTTGGGCGATGCTGTCGTTCGCATTAGTGTAATTTTTTTATACATACCGCATTAAATCCGATTTAGCATTTACAATTTGGGTGACCATATTTAAAAAAAGCGAAACCATATTTAGAAATGAGGAAATGATGACATATATAGATATAAAATAAAGAGAAATTATTAAAAATTGTTTTATTTTAAGCCATATTTAACCAATATGTAACTCTATCGTGCAACCAACATCCATAACTCGTGTTTTATGTTGTTTTCTTCGTAAACTTTGAAAGCAAAAAAGAAATAGGACCACTTTTCGCAGGTATAGCCGCCATCGCTCAGCGGGGCGATAGCAATAAAGACAAGCGAAGTCAAGAGGGTTGTGTTGGGGCGACAGCTCAATTTTTCGCAGTGGAAATCATAATTTCAAAATGATGTGTTTGTTGTAATTCTTACTATCATTGTGCGTATAATTTGTTAGTGTAATTTTTTACTTATGTACGGCCAACACCACCTTATGAAATGCGCATGAATAAATCTATCGCACGAAACGCACAATGCGAACTTCGTATTTCGCATTGGCTGTGGTCAATTTCACGTGTGTGCTGGTGTTTTAATTTTGACACTGCGAATTTCGCAATGGTGAGATCGCAGTTCGTGGATATTGTGTTTCAATCATAAGAAATAAGAAATCGCAAGCGAAAGGAGCGAAAAACAATTGCTCCAGGAAAAGAAAAACATGGAAAATAGCTTATGAAAAGTGAAAATTGACTAATAAAAGGGTAGGCAGAACCAACCGGAAAATCCGGTGTGCTCTTGCAAATAAGAAACATTAAAATTCGAATGAAAAAGTGTTAAATTAACTCAAAAGCAAAGCAACATAAAAAAAGGTGGTGCCGCCGCAGCTGAAGCTCTCTGCCACTAATTGCAAGACCACAACAACACATTTGAATAAAGGCTAAAGGCACCTTGCAATCAACAACGCTACAAAAACAACACACGCAAGGCAATCGTCAAGGGGCTAATTGCGTTCGGCTGGGTGTGGGGTTGTTGTCAGACCCGTTGGAGCGGGGGTAAACAAAACGTATACTTGGTGGAGTTCCGTGCAAATTAAAGAGAACTTGTGGTCAAGTGAATGAAATGAATAAAGAGCGGCGTAGATATATTAAAATAACAACAATACAGGAGCGTCATCTCAAGGCAGAACCGCATTGCTAGCAGAGCCAAAAACAGCAGTTTTTCATTGAATAGGTAGCTGGCAGAAACGGCGGCAGCGGCGTCAGCATTGCTGATGTGAGTGTACACTAGAGATGGGCGCGGGATATCGGACCGGCGGGATTGATTTCAAAATGGCCGGGATGGGCGGTATCGGGAAGATCTTTAAAAATTTTGCGGGCGGGACGGGACAAAAATACTTTCCCGACACCCGAAAAATTTTGCACTTCGAAAGTTGAGAGAATTTTCCTTAAAACCGTTTTATGAAAAAGCGTTTTTTTATGTTTTAGTGAGACGTCAAAGCAAGAAAAATGTCCGAAGATGTTTATTTCATTCATTCTTCATTGTTTATTTTTTTTTTATTATATAAAGTTAGTTTAGAGACATGTGAATTAATCTTAGTTGTAGACTTTGGGACCGACGGGCCCCGCGGTACAATTCTGAAAAATGTCGGGGGGTGCGGGTTCGGAACTTCAAAATTGAATCGCGGGATGGGCGGGTTCGGGACCTAAAAATAATTTCGGGATGGATGGGATCGGGATTGAATATTTAGGCCCGTGCCCATCTCTAGTGTACACAGCGGTAACGACGGCATTGAGTATGCCAACAGAAGAGTTCGTTCCATCAAGACGTGAGCAAAGCAGCTGAAGAAATACAATAAGGATTCGGGCAAAGAATATATCTATAAAATGATTCAATTAAAAAATTAAAATTAAAGCATTTAATGAAATTTAAGTGCAAAAGATGTGTATAAAATTATTTAAATCGAACTAAAGAAGTGAAATGGAAAAAATTTGCTAAAATGAAATCGAGACTGCCGTACGTGAGGTGATGATGTATGGTCTTGGAAATGTGCGGTGAGCTGAGGTGAAGACAAAGGCAAGCAGCGCTGGCGCAAGCAAATTGGATGTATGCGTGTGTGAATAGGAAATAATTGTACCAATACGGAGTTGAAATAATACAAATTGTTGGCTGAAATATTTGGGAAGGAAATATGTACGAAAACCGCATTTAAAAGTGCAAATAAACTTTAATTTTTTTACAAAAACAGCTAACATGTGAGCACATATAAAAAGCAATACAATTAAACACTTATAGCTGAAGAAGAAGCAGAATAAGCAAAAGTGTAGATAAGTAATACAAGAAAAAGCAGCAACGCTAAGAAGCATATCATTATTTCGTTCAAGAGCAGAAAAGTGGCTGCCGAGCACAGAGATTTATGTATGTGAAGTAGTGCACATAAAAAATTGATTGAGCTTGAAAACTGAAAAATATCAGAAATACTTGTAGGACAGTTGGTAATCTAGAAGATCTGTGAGATAAACTAAAATCTAAAAAGTACGTTAAAAGTGACCTAATGCTACGTGTATGCCGCGCTGTAATTAGCCAGTGAACGTCAATGGTGAAAAAAGAAGTGGCGACGTGTGGGAGGGGGCGTTGGGCGTAAACAGCTGTGGTCATAGTATTTGTTTTTTTAAAGGGCGGACATTGAGACAAGAAATTTAATGATCACAAGGGCGAAAAAATTGATTCTTTGGCTTGAAATTTAATTAAACAGTATAGTGCTACCTACTACATATATTATACAAATTCAAAATGTCTATTTCAAGTGCATTTTATAGGAAAATGTGGTAGTTAAAAAAACTGTGTATGCACTGATTGGGAGTTCGTAATTGATCTTCGGACACATATGCCTACATGTATGTATGTATAAATGTATGTACATATGTATACAGGTACACATTTATGTTTTTGGCTACGAATTGGCTGAGTTGGAAATAAGAAAATATTTTGCAAAGAAGAATCAACTTGAATACCTTCTAAGATCAAAGTCAATCACTGTACTTTCAATCTTGTGACCCTATACACTAACACCAAAAAAAATCATGACCNCTTATGAAATGCGCATGAATAAATCTATCGCACGAAACGCACAATGCGAACTTCGTATTTCGCATTGGCTGTGGTCAATTTCACGTGTGTGCTGGTGTTTTAATTTTGACACTGCGAATTTCGCAATGGTGAGATCGCAGTTCGTGGATATTGTGTTTCAATCATAAGAAATAAGAAATCGCAAGCGAAAGGAGCGAAAAACAATTGCTCCAGGAAAAGAAAAACATGGAAAATAGCTTATGAAAAGTGAAAATTGACTAATAAAAGGGTAGGCAGAACCAACCGGAAAATCCGGTGTGCTCTTGCAAATAAGAAACATTAAAATTCGAATGAAAAAGTGTTAAATTAACTCAAAAGCAAAGCAACATAAAAAGGTGGTGCAGCAGCAGCTGAAGCTCTCTGCCACTAATTGCAAGACCACAACAACACAATCGAATAACAACAACACGGCTAAAGGCACCTTGCAATCAACAACGCTACAAAAACAACAAGCGCAAAGCAATCGTCAAGGGGCTAATTGCGTTCGGCTGGGTGGTGGGGTTGTTGTCAGACCCGTTGGAGCGGGGGTAAACAAAACGTATACTTGGTGGAGTTCCGTGCAAATTAAAGAGAACTTGTGGTCAAGTGAATGTAATGAATAAAGAGCGGCGTAGATATATTAAAATAACAACAATACAGGAGCGTCATCTCAAGGCGCGTTGCTAGCAGAGCCAAAAACAGCAGTTTTTCATTGAATAGGTAGCAGGCAGAAACGGCGGCAGCGGCGTCAGCGTTGCTGATGTGAGTGTACACTAGAGATGGGCGCGGGATATCGGACCGGCGGGATTGATTTCAAAATGGCCGGGATGGGCGGTATCGGGAAGATCTTTAAAAATTTTGCGGGCGGGACGGGACAAAAATACTTTCCCGACACCCGAAAAATTTTGCACTTCGAAAGTTGAGAGAATTTTCCTTAAAACCGTTTTATGAAAAAGCGTTTTTT